ATAAATAAATAAAATCAATTTCAGCCATAATGCACACATCACAGTTCCACATACACCAGCATATACTTAAGTAATGGATATGTTGTATAAAGAAGTCAGGATGGTATGTATAAAAGAACATCAGGACAGAACTTACCCAGCAGTCTGATATATATGTGATGTTGTAGTAACATCACCACATGTTACCCAGTTGGGGGGGAGAGCTGGACTGAGGTGCTGTTTGCAACATAGACAAAAAACTTGCAGAAAGCTATTTTTCCATTATAGTTTAACTCTCATCCGCTTGGAAGGCGTATTTTAGTTCCTCAGGGTCATATTTTGTTGTAAGCCTTAAAAAAGATATAAAATATTATAAAATAATGCCACATTAAGAATTATAAATTCATCTTGTTCAGTATCATCCATTTGTCATGTACAGTTTGTTTCTTACAGGCTAAAAAATAAAAAAAGGTTAGGAGAAAAAAATAATCCTAAAGTGATTGGTGTCCTGAATGCTTGGCAGGAATAGCTTAGAAGTAGTTTTGTGACAGTTTCAATGACTGTCTGTACTTGCGTGTCTACATATGAGAAGATGGTACTGAGGGGATGTAAGTTGTTCCCAAGGCTTATAGCTGGAGCTGATGATACCTAAGGCTGGATGAGGCATCTGCTTCAGGCACCGATAGAGGAGGACAGGAAGTGGTGGAAAGGTGTTGTAGGACAGGATTCTGATCTAGCTACATGACTTGCTCTGTATCTCCTAAACTAACCACCTGTTGTCAGGAAGACACTCTGTTGTCACTGTGATAATACGAATCAATTCTTAATCTGACCAGCTTTTGTAAGTGGAGTTTAAAAGATGTCATTGTTTGCCTCAGACGGCAAAATCTCTTGGATTGGCTCTGACATTGGTCTAGGAGTTCTGCAGATATTTGTCTTTTCCCCTCATACTGTTTAATAGCTTGATGAAAATGCCTGGAGGCATTTAGAGATTGCAGTATGCTGTCATCACTGTGCAGCTCATATCCCACTTTGTTTTTCCACCAGGTTCTGGGAAGAATGTGAATATCTATATACAGTACCTCTGGAAAGAATGTAAATGTCCACAAATGATTCAGACAAGATGGAAGTTAGGAGAATGGTCAGTCTAGAAGCTGGGATTCAGGCCTTGGGGTTTGGGTTTGCATTTCCCTTTAAAGTGACCCCTTTAAAGTATAGTAAGCTGGGAATGTCTGCACAGTTTAGGTTGGTGGGCCAATTGCTACTGCTACTTGGGATACGTATTTTTTTGCTCCATAAGACGCACCTGACCATAAGACGCACCTAATTAAAACAAAACAAAACTCTGCCCCAGCCAGCTCATCATCCTTCTGCACAGTTTAGGTTGGTGGGCCAACTGCTACTGCTACTTGGGATACATATTTTTTTGCTCCATAAGACGCACCTGACCATAAGACGCACCTAATATAATTAAAACAAAACTCTGCCCCAACCAGCTCATCATCCGGAAGTGCTCCCTGCCAGGAAGGGGAGGAGAAGGGCAGTGTAGTGGCGATGGCGGCAGTGGAAGCCAAAGAAGATTTGTCTCGATTAGCCAGGTATAAATCCTGTTTTCTTTCCACATGCTGTCGATGGGGGGGGGCATATGAGCGAAAAATTTGATACTTGTTTTCTTTAGAATAAATTAGAATAAAAAAAGAGAAAACTCCACCCCAGCCAGCTCATCATCCAGAAGGGGAGGAGGCGTGATGGCGATGGGAAGATTTGTCTCGATACTTTACAGTATTTGCTCCATAAGACGCACACATGTCCCCCCTTTTTTGGGGGGGAAAAGTGTGTCTTACGGAGCAAAAAGTAAGGTATGTCACAATTGCACATGCCATGGTAACATCTAGGTTTTATACCAGTTGTTGTAGCATGCTCCATATATCAGACTGTAAAAATAGCAAAGATTCTTGTGTCACTTAAAGACTAGTAAGTTTTTATTTAGTATATTCTGTAGCCCACTGCATCAGATGTATTTAAAAAGTGTATGAAACTTTAATTAGTGCAAAATATACTGCCTGGTGACTGAAAATAGTGCCTTTGTTTCAGATCACATAATACCAACATTACACCAACTACTGTCTTAAATTTTCATTTCAAAGCACTGGTACTGATGTTTAATCCCTAAATGGTTTGAGGCTTGGTTAGCTGAAGAGTGAATTTCTTCTGTAAGAATTTACCCATCTCCTTGCTCCTTATCAAAGGAGACACCTGTCTTCAGGTGGTGTGTTTTAGGAAGTCTTAAATAGGTGAGAATTCATAAAAGAATTTTCTTTGACTGGCATAGTCTTATTAATTTTTCTTGCCAGGAGACTGCTACATGTTATATGGTTTTGATATTTTCTTTTCTTTATGTTTTTAATTACAACTGTAGGAAAGGAAGAATAAAAATAGTTTAAACATCAGAATTTTAAAAAATTTTTTCAGGAAAAACATTTACTTGTTATCTTACATAACTTTTTCAGTTTCATTTTGTTACTTCTATTTTTCTCAGATGGCTTTTCTATGGTTTGTATGCTGTAAAATCTGTTCCTTCATTCAGTGATCTTTGGGGAGACTGCAGACAATGCAACTCTTAACTTTTCTCCAAAATGTTAGCCATCATTTCTGCTGCAAGTTAAATGGTCTTGCTTCTCAAACTGGATTGTCTTCATTATAAAGCAAAACAAATAGCAAATTTCTGGCTATGCTTTATTTTTTGTATACTTTTCATTCTGTACTCCCCCCCCCCAAAAAAAACCTGGTATGGTATTGCTGCAGACAAATGAAATATATAACATTTGAAAAATGGCTGTAGCTTAATTTGACAGCAGAAAATAATAGGTATTATAAAGCTTATTGTTTATGAAAAGGAGTGGTTTTCCTTTTCGGTTCTCCACTGATGTTCCCGACCTCTGTGTTTAAAATTATAAGCAGAAGTTTAAAGAGTACTTTGACAATTATGCTTTCTTACTTTCAGCACATTGGCTAAGTAGTTACCAGCAGATTTGTTTCTTAGCTTACAATGTTAGCTTTATGTAGTGTGTCAGCTTTTGGTAGACAACTGTCCATGAACTCCCTGTTTGATGAATATTATTTACAGAGACACAAGGGGGAGCAAATGTATCTTACAGTTTAAAGTCTGTAAGGGAAAATAATATTATTTAGTAATTTGTGCCAACCTAAAGGGCATATCCAAAAAACACAAGAGCAATAATCATATGTATTTCTATTTGATGCCTAATAAGTAATTAATGGCTAAAATCCTGTTGCACTACTTTATGCCACATAAGGCAGATGGCATCATCAACTGTGGTAGGTTTTCATAAATTTAAAATATCTGATCCCCTTTTGATGGTTCCAGGGCTTCCTTGGGAACCATTGGGGCAGCAGGATGAGGTGGTGGTCTTATAATTCCTGAAAATTGTTGCTGCTTTACCAAGCACAGAGGTGATTTTGGAAACTGAAGCCTTCCCCAGCAGTTTCCCTCTGCAAAACGGATTCCAAGAGAACCTTCAAGGGGGAATCAACAATTTTTAACTTCCAAAAAATAAGAATTTTGAAAAAAGAGAGAGAGAGCCATGACTTATTATATACGGTAATCAGCTCTACATGGTATAAAGCTGTGCAACAGGATTTCAGCCAGTGTGTTAGAAAAGTTACTAAATCTTGCAGTACAGGGTCTAGAATACATGTACAAAAATATACATACATTCAATCAATCAATCAATCAATCAAATGGTGAACACTGACTTCACCATTTCTGTGCTTGGGACTATGCCTCATGGAGATATCTGAGCTGTAATTCTGCATATGGGATTTAAATCACACCTGGAGTAAAACAGCTTAACTCTGTGCAGGATGTCTTGATAACCACTGCTCTCTACCTTTGACTATACTGTAGGTGTTCTGGCGATTCTCCCCTCCCCATCTTCTAGTGATAATGGCAAAAGAAGTGAAAAAAATCATTTTCCCTTTCTGGTTCACAACATCATTTTTATAAACGTCACATCCTTGACAGAAAAGCAGTCTGGCCACCATAAGTAAAACATATATATTTTTCTTTTTTAATAGTACTTTTTGTCCACAAATGCTATTGCTTGCTGAAAACAGGCTTCATATGGCTTTGTCGTCACTGGAGGAAACAGCAGTAGGCCATGAGACTTTATGAACGTCTTTCATTGATTTAGTTTTGTCTGTCTAACAGCTGCCTTCCAGTCCTACACCCCTTACCCACGTCAGTGCTGCCGTCAGTCCAATTTTAAAAGGAAGATAAAGATATCTTTCTTGGGGGGGTGTTAAGTTTAGTTCCAGGAGATGAGTGTATACATAGGATTCTGTCCAGTTAAAATGATGATTTTACCTAGATGAATAGTCCTTTTAATAAAGAGTAAGTACTAAAGTCAGAAAGAACAAAAAACTCCAGAAAAAGCATATATTAGTAAATGGAGAAACGTGTTTTTCTGCCAAATTGCCATTATGACTATCATCATCATAATGTGTCATCAAGTCAATTCTGACTTATGGCGACCCTTTTCAGGGTTATATCTCAGCTAGAATGGTTACTACTGTATTCAAGGGTTGATGAGCTAAGTGGGCTTGGGGGCTAAAATCCTGCCCCCTATGGACTGAAGTGGGCCCAAAAAACAGCTGAAACAATCATTTTAAAAGTCAAGCAGAAAATCTGTTTGTGGATTTGAGGATTTGGGGTGTTGAGGGACTCAGAAAAGCCTCTACTCTTGGAGGACTCAGGAGTGGAACTAGGCCCTTATTGTTGTTTAAAAAAGAGAATTTTTCCCACTGGGCAGGCTCTGGAGTAGCCTTGGGGAAAGCAAATTCTCGTGGAGGCCACATGCATCTTGTCCACCCTGACTGCATCTTTTTTCGTCAGTATAGATGAAATTTATTCCATGATAAATAGTTGGAAGACGCAATGGCCTGCTGGAATATATATATTCTCTAGATCAAAACAGTGGTAATCTGTTTTAGGGAAATTACAGAATTAAAATTGGAGCCTTGGTAATCATATTGGAGAAATACAAAGGAGTGCAGTTTGTTTGATCTTGGGCAGTGAGGATTGATATGTTTTCCTTCTGATTAGCTTCTGTGTAGCAGATTTATTAGAGTCTTATGAATCTCTACTCTCTTTTGTGGAATACCACCAAAACATTTGTTCACTTTTACCTTTGCTTGAGCATATTTAGCCTCCAGGGAGATTTCTGTTCTGACTCCTTTCTGAGGCACATTAAATATAAGAAGAATTTGTGTGTTTTACTCAAGTAGACAATGTAGCATGATAGTTTTGGCATGAAAACTGTCTATTATCTTTCCTCTGATAACCGCCTCCCAGAAGCCTCTGGTAATGGTGTGGCTAAAAAGTATTGTAAATAAATAAATAAATAACTTGAGTTGGATTAGGCTTTGATAGCATGCACCTGACTGCGACATGTTTTTCCAGGGCAACACCCTAGATTCTATGGAGGGCAGATTTCTGAATACAGAAACTGTTGCAATGTCATTCCAGTGGATTTAGTCATGTTATATGGGCAGACAAAGTACGGGTTACCTGTCTTTCAAGTGGCATGTTATCAGAATACCAGGAGAGAGTTAATATGATGGTTAGTTATGATGTCACTGATGACTTATAAGTATTAACCAATCAGGCTTGTTCAGAGATGTTTAAACCAACTACAACAGAAGTTTATTTGTTCTTTCCTGCGGTGTGGAGAGAGAGAAAACCTGCAGCAACAAAGCACAGGAAACTAAAACCCCTATGGTTGTGGGCAACTTAAGAACTTGCCCGAAGATACAACAACAGGAAAACAGTGAAGTGATCCACTGTGAATTTGGACCCAGAAATTTGGGTTTCCCCAAGTGAATTTGCTTTCGCTGACCTCACGTGAATCAGCAGAGAGAAAAAGAAATGGTCAGTCAGCCCTTGTTTGCTAAGTCAGGTATATTGTAGCCATTCAAATCTGGAGGAGGCGCAGAGGTAGTTGAGCTATCTTAACAAGCTGCAAACAAGGGCTGGCTGCCAATTACCTCCTCTCTAACCCCCATCTGGTTGGCTAAAGCAAACAGACTTCCACCAGCTGATCTTATAAACAAGAATTGATTGATGACTTCCTCCTCTCTCTCTCCCTCTTTTTTGTCTCTTAGGTGACCTAGTGCACCAGCACTGGCATGAAGCTTTATATATATAAATAAACAGTTTGGACATGAAGAGTGCTTGGTTGAGTGAATCTGATACCCCTGTGTGTGCCCCTTTACTTCCTTTCTTCCCATCCTGAAGTAGAAAGCAGCTAGAGAGACAGCTATTGTTTGTTCCATTCATCAGTGAAGCTGCATCAGTTCAAGTAAATTACATTGCCTGAACTGGTGCAATGCATTTGATTGGAAAAAAGTAGAAGTCTCAGTGGTGGAGGAAAAAGTTATAGATAGGGGGAAATACTCCAGGCAGATTCTCGTTGCATGATACATTGTGTAGTCAACAGAAAATATTACAAATTTGACGATCCTAATTCTGCAAATGAGATAATTACTCTCTCTT